TTACCTACCTATCGACCTGGGAAGCATCGTTTCAACTACAGATGGACGGAACTGACAATAATATCAAAGCAAAGATCAGGAAAGCAAGACAAGCTTTCATTACTCTCAAGTTTGTGTAGAGGTCACCAACACTCAGCATCAAAAATAAGATCCGGATTTTCAACTCCAATGTGAAGTCAGTCAGTGCTACTTATTGTATGGATCAGAGACTTGGCCAGCGCGTCATAAAGAGCATCTCAAGCAAACTACAGACCTTCATCAACAGCTGTCTTCGCTCAATACTAATCAGGATCAGATGGCCAGAAAAGATCACCAACAGGGATCTCTGGCAATGAGCGAATCAACCAGAAACCGATTGTGAAACAAATAGACAGGAAGAAATGGAGATAGATTAGCCATACTCTGAGGAAACCATCAAGTGACATCACTAGACAAGCCATCGCTCGAGTGGAACCCGAATGGGAAGCGGCGAGTTGGTCGTCAGTGCAAGGGTGACTTGGAGGAGGTCATGTGAGGAGGAGATGAAAGCATGTGGGAAGACTTGGAGCGGGGTGAAAACTCTAGCAGAGAACCGAACGCAATAGAGACGCGCAGCTGAATCCCTATGTTCCTCTAGGAATTAAAGGAAATAATAATAATAATCTATTTTATTTCACTTCACTATTCACCCCCACCCACCCTCCTGAACTCTCCATCATAATATGTATAAATCCATTGTGTTGTTCTGTCTTGTTTTTTTGTCTCTAGTCCATCCTTGTTTCCAAGTGAAATGTAAACTACATCCCCTTCACTAATTACCATATAAATAATCCCTCTTTAACACTAAATAACTGTCTATTTACATCATCTTTGAAATTATGTTGCTTCTACTTTCTGTCTATCTATGACTAATTGTAAAAATATGTTCAGACATTATTTTGTAACTTATATGTGATTTATTTAGGATGTAGACGGTTGAAGAGGATCCACGAAATAAAACGAGCTCGTATTTTACTGCAAGTATGTTCGTTCTTTCATTTTTCAAACTAATAAAGAGAACCAGCTATATGAAATTCAGTCAACTTAATGTTCAAAAATCATCCGATTCTGTCTGTTTTCGACATAGAACTTTGCATAGATGTGCACCAGTTCAAGTCGCCACACTCCCCACATGTAGCACAAAAAGCAAGAGAAGAAAGTAGAAGAAATGCATAATAGAGATAGTAAGTTGACGTGTGAGACAAAGGAGTAGTAATAACGAAGAGAAAAAGAGTTTCACTGGAAATCATAAGTCACAAAGAGTGGATGCATCTGCTCCAGCCATTGAGAACGATTTTGAGCCATATCACCAACTGTTTCCAACCATTGGTTTTTACCGTCCCGAGGACCTCAACTAGTCAGGAAGTCTACACCTTCCTACGTGGCTTAGACTAACTGTTGTAGATTTGATTGACTGGTGACATGTTTTGGTTGGACCACCGCTAGCTCTTTTCCAGCCTGACACTATGTCAGCTAACATTGTCCGTCAAGGAAGGCGATGACTATGCTGGGCATACGTAACATATGTCCTAACCATCTCAGTCGATGTACTTTCACAGCCTCGTCGATTAATTTCCCCTCCCTAACTAGCACTCGACCGAGGCCTAACCTCAATATTGCTCACCTTATTATACCACTTCACACGGGAGGGAGATAGAACGCAGGCACCTATGATCAAAGACAGCTGATCTTTTTATGTCCTCAATCATGCGACTAAAATATTATACTCCCTATCTAACACTAATTAACCTGATAGATTTATAATTTCTTAGTATACAAGTAATAGACAATTATGGCGTTCAATGGCTCATAAAAGCAAGTAATAATATTTCAAAGATTCTTTCAATATCTCCAGCACATTTTAACAGGTTTAGTAATGCAAATTGGCTTTTGAAAAATCTTACTGGTACATACACGACACGTCAACAAGATATTACTTTCATGCAACAAACTGTTAAAGAACTGTGACTTTGTATCTGGAATGATTAACAAATGAGTCATTGAAGAACTTGGCACAAAAGTGTATCAGTATGAGCTGCCATACATCAGTGAAACGCACGAAATAGCGAAACATTAATGTAGGAATAGTGCAATGGACAAAGGCGAGTGTGATGAAGAGAATAGTCGAATAAAGACCGCCCCCTTTTTGCAAAATCTTGGAGATGACAAGAATTGCATGCACATACGTCACTACAAATTACATTGAGATATACCCCCAGGACTCTGGAACCGCTGTTTCTTAGCGTCCGGAGAGTCACAGGCAGGATGTCTAACGATTAGTTACTTTATGGATTGATACTGTGCCCTGATCTGACAATTCCTAATTCCTTCACAACGTGGTGGGACCTAAGCCGAAATTATTTTTTCTTGCAAAGACATACAATGACATGTCCTAGCCACCTCAAACAGTGAAGCTTCATAGTCTCGTTGATTGACAAACTTCCCTTACATAACACTATGCCTAACCTATCTATGACTTACCACACTGTTCCTCATAAAGCGGACAGTTGAATGAAAGAGTCTACGATCAAGATCCACGAATTTTTCCACATTTAGGAGAAGCTATGCCTCACAATCATAGCGTATGACAGAACAAACTGCCGTAAAGTACTCGAAGTAGACGTTATTCTATGGCTTAGACTGTTCGAAATAAATGTCACATTATTAGATTCCGAAGCAAATAAATGGAAGAAAAATAACTTCAGAAGTGTTTCATATCTGGAGATACATCACCAACACGAAGTTATTAGATTTATGACAAGAAAATTGTGGTTGTTTCAGAGAAAATTCATCACCGTGCTGATATTAACAAACAAAATGCAAGCCTTTAAGAGAACCTACACACAGTAGTTACGCAAACGTAGGAAAGATAGGACTACTGATCGTGGGACACTGACAAATATTGGTACTTGACAATTCTGATTTTAAAAGTAATTCTATTGTTTGTACGTATAACACAATCCGAGGCTGAATATAAATTCCTATTTATAGTGTAATAAACTTCGTGAATTTTCATTAGATGTTTAAATGTCTTCGAAAACATAAAAGTTACTCTATATGTTACATAAAGCTTTGTAAATAGAATGCACAGATAACGGTGAGCTCAATTCACGAATAATCAGCATCCAAACATTAATGTTGAGCTTAGTGTGAAAAAGAAAGGGAATTAGTAACTCTAGCTAAAATTGACTAAATCTGCATTTGATAATAGGTCTTTAAGTGGAAGTTACACCATTAACAGACCATTACGACTAGAGATAAGGGTGGAAAACACATTACACGCTGTTTATCTTTGTTTACCCGATCAGATATAAGCCAAGTAAACATCTGCGAAAACGGTAAATAATGAAGTGGAAACAAATGACCAAATATTTAAGATTGAAAAAACAAACATAAAAGAGTTAATGCAAACACTGACAATAAATTCGGCGATGTCAAAATGTCATAGCTAAAGTTACGGTCACTGAGAAATTGACCTTCAAGGGACGATTAGACACATGGAGAGCTAAGAAATGTCATTCTAAATCAGATCATATCTGCTTTTCGGACTTGAAGAGTGTAGATACAATATCCTAGCTACTTTTTATGAAAATCTGTACTGTTAGGTAGGGTTATGGCACCTAAAATTAAAGCTTAGGGTCTAGGGTTAAAGTTAGGGTTAGGAGTTAGGAGTAGGTTGAAGAATAGTGTCAGTAATATCAATAGATCTCAAAGTGGTATGACCTACTGTCACTTGGATGGATGCATACATCGCGCATGGTATGATTTGCCTATAGATCATCTCTGTACTGACTGGGAGACATTCTTATAACACATAAGTTACAACTATACAGTGAAATAGCAAGATTTGTTGGTGTATTTTTCAACGATTATGTGACTTTTTTGCTTCGATATTTTGAGTGGCCGTTCGAGGTTACTGTAGTTTTGGCAATTATTGTTTGGCTTTGCCCAAAACTCTCAGCTATTTTGTGCAAACTGAAACGTAAACTATTACTACTCAATGAATTTTGTACGTGGTTTCAAAGACTAAAGCATTTGATTTAATGGAATGAAGAGAGTTTGTAGGTTTATTATTTTTAAACAACTTCATAACAAGTCTAGATAGCAAAACCAAGAGGAGATGTGAACTTGAGCCAAGAAGTTTTGACGGCCAGATAATGTGTAGGAGAGACCCAAAACCTACTAATAACCCTTACAATTATTAAAAGCAGAGCAAAATACTGGAACCAGTAACCGGTGATTCAATAATTTTATAGAACAATTTATCCTCAACGACAGATTATGATTAAGAATACCATTAAAGAGACACTGTAAATCGAACATGGAGGGAGTTCAAACTAAGACCTGCCACTAACAATCGATGAAGTCAGCCACTAGTGAAACATATGATAAGGATGGTGTGTATGGAAAACAAGTGGCTGGAAACTTGAGAAAAGGAGAGACATATAAAAGTAAAACACCGAAAAAAGTACGCAAACTGTATTTGTCACAGTTCCCAATAGTTTATAACAAGGAAGTAATAAGAAAGTGAATAAATGTATGGAATTTCCAACTTAAATATGAGGATCCTCATACTAATAACGTAGTGGAATGGGGGTCATTTGTCTATTGATAACTTGACTGCGAATAAAGGCTTTATAGGCAACGGAATAGCAAGTACGACATCTACTATTCAAGAAAAGAAGACCAAGAACGTATTACAGTCTCAGCCCTACATGAGTTTGTGAGACTTTGTTAACTAAAATCTTGTGATAGATCCGAACTCATAGTACTACTGGATGAAGCAGTGACTGAACAGATACAAGTAGCTAGTGCTGTAGGCACATGCGTAGGTCTTTAAAAATAATATAACGCCACTTTATCATGAAAGTATGGAAATTCGTAAGATGTCAGACGGACAACAGAGTATAGATACTAAACCAGAGCTAAAAGTCCTATGTGCATCTAGAATTTATGGAACGTGTAAAAAACATCCAACTTACCGTAGCGCGATAACCCATCCGGATTTTTCAAAAAAGTAACATGAAGGGAACATTCAGTATTCAATAACTGCCAGTCTACACTATTAATAAAATCCATTGAATTTTAGCACTCACATCTCTCTGCTTTGCAAAAATTTCACATTTTGCGGAAAATGTGGTATCGAATTACTAATAGGCCCTCCAATATTACCCATCCTACAGAGTATATAGGAAATAAATTAATATAGATTTAAGACCTTTATTGAGTTTATTTTGGTTTCTCTAGTAGGATTTATTTCATGTATCATTGCATAATAAAAATGAGTGAATGTGAATGGTGGTGAACACTGAACGTTTGTTTTAGGAACTGGCAGCCATTGGTGGAAAACTCGAAGGCGCGAATGGTTCAATCGTGTACAAGCTCGAAAAAGAGGAACAAAAACGAATAATAGTACTTCATAATTTTGTATAAAATATTTGTTTGTAGACTTTAAATAAATAAATAAGTTTATTTTCATGCTACAGTACATGACGGACGCCAGTTTACGGGCATCATCAAATTGTTACAGAAATAGGACCTTATTATTCAATCACATTTTACAGTCGATAGCAAAATATGTTTAAGATGTACACTGGAGATTATACATACACTTGATAAATGTTAATCCCAATAGTATAAAACAGCCTTTTCAATTATGTACAATCATTTCTGTGCATAGTTGGAAAAATCTGCTAGATTGTCAGTGAGTGCAACACATCAGGAAATACAGAAGTACTGTCTTCGCATTAACAAAAAACCAGGTCTTTGGTGGATGGGTTATAAGTGCATTACTTTGTTGTGTGCAGGATCCTTGAATTATAGTTCATTGGTGTGTTTTTTGGAAATCAGTGATATGTTTATCTCATTTGGTCTGCAATGTCATTGTTGGGAGTAAAATACATAAGCTTTAGACCCATTAATTAGTGGATTTCTACTGCCTGTGTGTATTTACTTCTCGTGAGGAAGGTTTTTGAATTTTAGTTGTTCCGACAGGAGTTGTGGATATTAACTGCTCAGCAACATTACAGATATAAGTTCATCACATTATCTTAGGAAAGTTGGGTTGTAGTTGGTGAGGCATATATGATACCCGACGAGCGTACATCTGTCCATGTGATGTTGTTGTGAGTTATACCTTTTTCATGCTGTCGGTTTATGTCCATTTTATTCCACTTATTGTGTTGGGTAGAAGTTTTACAAACGAAATTTTTTTATCTATATGAGGGTAAGTATCTTAGTCGTTAATGTTTTATCTAAAATTATAAATATAGGCAAAAACAACAGGTGTAGTATTTAACCTTATACATTGAATGGACCTATAATTTCGGAGGCTCTCAGATAGGAACTAGGACTTCTATCGTTTGCAAACTCGTGTAGTTTGTCGTTAAGCACTTTTTTGAAGGAGGCCAATGTACCTGCTTGACTCATTTCCATTGGTAGTTTATTCCATATCTGTGCATACCTAACCAAGTAGAACTTTGCCTGGTGGCTGTTTTACATTGTTCGATAGCTACTGCACCCTTAGTGTGTCTTAGTTTGTAGCCATTGTCATGTGAAAGTCGAGTGCCATTAGTAGAGGTAAAAACTAAGTGGTTTAGAAGCGTACAGTAAAGTGTTAATTTTAGTCTCAGGAGTCTTAGCCATAGTGTTTCTAATCCTAGGATATAACATCTAGTGGAGTAGTTCGCACTATTTTCCGTTGCGAGTAATTTTGAGGTGAAGTACCTCTGCACTCCCTCGACTTTCAATTTGTCCTCTATGCGTATACCACCATACATGAATAAACAGTAATCAAATAAAGGACGCACACAAACCTTGTACAACAGAATTCTGGACTCATTTCTGTAGAAGTTCCTGAGTAGAAAGCCGATAAGTCTGCGTGACTTTGACACTTGTTTGGAGATATGTTCAGAAAATGATAAGTCATGTGAGTATTTCAGTCCTAGGTCCAATACAGATTCCAGTCGTAGAAGTGCATGGACTTGAATTGTCAGGTCAAGTTCTAAATCGTTGCAACCTATGCAGAGCCAGCCACATTTGTCGACATTTAACTGGAGTTGCCAGGTGTCACACCATCTATATATTTTTTGTCATTCTTGCTGTATGGCGTTTACTGCTATTCCAAGGTCTGTGTTCTTGCATTTGTAGGTCACTTTTAAGTCATCTGCATATAGTACTGGTTTAACAACACTGAAGCATTCACAGATATTGTTTATATATTGTCAATCACGTCTCATAAACCGTTAATGCCCAGCTCTCGCTACGCTCGGGCCCACGCTGTTCTTCGAAGATTTCAGAAACGCTTAGTTATAACGGACGAGAAAACCAAAACACCGATCTGCCGTTTGATATTTCTTTATTGTTACACCAACATATAAAAAGAATAAGCGAACTAAGGTCTGAAAACAAATATTACAATAACAAATCATTGTATTACATCTGACGATGTTTCACTCTTCTTTCTGAACAGCGACCGATGAGACGATGACTGTCATATTGATGCCTCCGCGAAAATCGGGGAAGTTGATTTTAAGCAAACAACCAAGAATTGATCGTTCAACCTTCAACTCCATTGACACTCCCCGGTAAAAAATGGGATCCAACCCTTTTTTCCTTCACGACCAATGCACGTTGACTTGGATGCCATTGCGAGAACCTGGGTCACACGGACAGAGGTGAAATGGAAAACAAACAGAAAAGCCAACACACCACAAGCATACCCACAGCACAATCTCACACATCAATGACGACCTGCGCCTCCAGTTAAAAGCATCCTCTTGCAACACAATCGCCACTTGCTAGAATGACTCTTGCAGAATGCAACGTGACCATAGCAGCACCTCATGATACTCTACGCACATCGTCTTATCTACTCACTACCAAATACCACTGAAATCGCTTGTCACTCATTCTGCCTCAGTTCTAGTAGCGGTGACGCATGCGAGCCTCAGTCGTTTACACTCTTTCTCCCCGGCGTGTGAGACCACAGCTAACAATTATCTCCGTGTGCATTTCATTCTCAGCAATAGCCTAGCCTCCCCGGCGTATACGACCCATCTGCTGTCCTTAACATCAACCAATTCATTCATGGATGTAGAAGACTCGAAACAACTTCAGAAGTAATCACGACGAAAAATTTAACAAAATTACGCAATAAGAACAAGATACAAAAACAACAAGTAAACACAATGAATCCAACAAACAACACTTGATATGACACACCACACGTATATACAAATAGCACAAACAACCTCGCCGATCATGTCTTGGTGGAATTCCTTTGAAGAATCGCAGGACTTACACCAGTACGCCTACAACCCTTCTCAGGTTGACGATTGTAATTTGTGGAATGTCCGGACACAAACAAGATTAACCAACAATTACGATGATTGGAACTCACACAATTATTTAACACAAACATATGTACAATCAACGCATCAAATGTTGTGTATTGTGGCACGGCAAACTACCCTTGAAGAACTGTAGAACTTACAGCAGTACGCCTACATTCCTTCTCAGGTTGATGATCCAAGTGGAAGTCGTACGGACACAGACAGAATTACCAGCAGATAGATGAAAGATGACATCAATTCAGTATATGCAGTATGAACATATGTACAAAATCACACACTAAGCACATTGGACTGCTCATTGATGCGCTACCCTTTGAATAATTGTAGGACTTACAGCAGTACGCCTACAACCCTTCTCAGGTTGACGCTCTAGGTTGGGAAATCGTTGCAGAGTTCATTTGCTGACCTCCTTCTATGAGCTATATCCTCAAATCTGAACGGCAACACGCCCATGTCATTGTATCGTAGAATATAGATGACCAACAAACACACGACATATCTCATCAACCAAGTGTAGAAACAGAGTAATTTACACCAAAGATAATAGCATTCAATTAGTAACTTGAAACTAGAAATGCCTTTATTCGTGCAAGTCAATTTAACAATTACTCTCTCGTTTACACTTGGCTTATCCTCACTAAACTGACCATTGATATTCGTCCTTTCAAACGAACTGATACTAGCATAGTCATTGCACAAGATACTTGAGTTGATGGGTGTCTGTTTCATTGTGGATGACAGCACCAACGACGACTGATTGATATCAGTTGATGAAGTTAGCGGTGGATCAGAAGCTGTTGTTGCTCGATTTTCAGAAAGTTGTCTACCTGCGGGACCACCACCACTGCCGTCATTTACTATCAGCTCAGGCTTAGCACTGGCATCTGATGATAGGTGGGCTACACGCTGATCAATCACACTGACGGTCTCACAAGTATGCACACCTGGAACTGCATCTGCGTTCAATTCTACTTCACGTTCAAGTTGTACAGAACCCTTGTTCAACTTAATATATGTGTAAAACTTGGGCACTGTGGTTCAACTTAGCAGTAGTAGGCATATCTCTCATCTCATCATGATCAACCAAAGACAACTGTGAAGTATCATGATCATTGTCACGAATATTCACTGTACCGTCAACTTCATCACTTTCAAACTCTTTATTAACAGAAGTAGACAATTTTGGTTCCTCCTCGAAAATCTTTAAAGCTTCTATATCTTCACTCTGACTAGTTATACTTTGTAAACTTGTGGAGTCAGAACTCCACTCTGAAGCAGTAACTATCCTCTGTGACACTCTATTCAACAATGGCTTACCAGTTGCAACTACAGACTTCTTGACCACACCGTTATCGTCACACAATTCGGAGTCAGGCCTGGATTTCACATTTAGCTTATCACTGAACTTGCTCACTGGTTCACAGTTCACCTTGGTATGCACTTCTTGCACACGTGTAAAACACGACCGTGTATGTCTTACATCTTGTAACTTATCTGTTGAGGATGTACTACGAAACCTATTATACCCACTAGGTCTACATGCATTACTAGACATCATGGAACCTTCTCGATATCCACCTTTCTGACGCCTATTCGTCATCAATGATTGCATTTTACCCTCAGACTGCTCTATTCTAGGGGTGAGATTCAATATACTGGCAAACTTGCTCATAGATTGATTGACACTAGTATTTACCA